AAGTGCACAGTGCAAAATATTACGATATGTATAATGAATGTAATTATAGTTCCTTCAAATACGTAGCAAATGAAATGAACGCACGGAGGTAAATAAAAAAATAGACGTGGGTTAAACGTGACACATTTTGATCGATAGATGTAGCACATGCTTACAGTACCGTGTACACTTTCCCTCTACACTATCTTTGGATTCAACGAAAATCCGTAAACAGCACGAAATCGAATTTATAACTTATAAATAAATATAATTCCCGCAATGTCAAATTCTCGCCCGTTCAATCTCTCGTTATCAAAAATATTCGACATTGGACTGGGAGAAGCTCGTTCGATATTAAAAAAAAAAAAAAACAAAGATAAATTTCGTTCGATGTTAAAGATACTAATCGTGAAACACGCGGTTTTTTGATCGATGATCGACGCGATTGTTACCAAAAAACGGCGCCACGAGCTGATCGATCGCTCGGCGTGTGCAATCCGAGACGCTCGAGACGCAGAAACGTTCAACCTTCGGTATCGATGCGACTCTATCGTGGAATTCCCTTCCTCTGAAATATTAACGAATATAAAGAATCGCGAAGGGTAGCGGGGAATTCGAACGGAAAGCGACACTCCGCGGTTGGATGCAATTACACCTCGTTCGTCGTTCAAATACGCGAGGAAAAATCGTCTGTCGATCGCGTCGATGTTTCTCGTAGTACCTGCAATGTCTTCGCACGGGCAATGTCTTTTATTCGCCGGTTCCATTTGTCCCTGTCCCCGAGGTTTTATGTCGTACATACGATTTCGTTCGATCGATTCTGTATCCATCGATGTTTATCGACTCGTTGCTCGAACCACTGTGTTTCCATTGGTAGATCTGTAAACAAGGATTTCGTGGATCAACGAAAGAGATGCGACACACGTACGGGACTTTCGGTATGTTAGAAGGAATAAGGGATATCGGTACAAGGAATTGAGTGTAGTTTTACTGTCGATTTGGACTTTGGAACAAGGTAGAAATTTGATAAGTAAAATAACGTGTAAAATTATGTTTGGATTGTCGTTGGTTCATCTCATTAAGGATCACGTAATAATTTACTATAATATATTATACTTTTATGTTTATATTTAACTGTTATGTATAATGTATATATATGTGTAAATGCAATATGGGGGTTGTTTGCACTTTATTATTATTATTTATTATTTAGACATTTAAATATTCTAAATTTATTATTTAGACATTTGAATATTCTAAATTTATTATTTAGACATTTGAATATTCTAAATCTATTATTATTATTTATTATTTAGATATCTAAATATTCTAAATTTATTATTTAGATATTTAAATATTTTAAATTTATTATTTAGATATTTAAATATTTTGAATTTATTATTTATGTATTTAAATATTCTAAATTTATTATTTAGGTATTTAAATATTTATTATTTCAATATTCTAAATTTATTATTATTATTTATTATTTAGATATTTAAATATTCTAAATTTATTATTGAGATATCTAAATATTCTAAATTTATTATTTAGATATTTAAATATTCTAAATTTATTATTGAGATATCTAAATATTCTAAATTTATTATTTAGATATTTAAATATTCTAAATTTATTATTTAGATATTTAAATATTCTAAATTTATTATTTAGGTATTTAAATATTCTAAATTTATTATTTAGGTATTTAAATATTTATTATTTCAATATTCTAAATTTATTATTTAGATATTTAAATATTCTAAATTTATTATTTAGATATTCAAATATTCTAAATTTATTATTTAGGTATTTAAATATTCTAAATTTATTATTTAGATATCTAAATATTCTAAATTTATTATTTAGATATTTATATATTTTAAATTTATCATTTAGGTATTTAAATGTTTTAAATTTATTATTTAGATATTTAAATATTATGTTCACTTATCGTGGAAGACAAGTTGCAGATCACTTATACGTTTAGTAAGTAATGAGATTTTAATTGTGAGGAATAAGGAAATTGTTGATATTCACACTTTTCCTTGAAACAAATAGATGATATTGGCGATTTGATGGTTATATTTATCATCGTTTGAAAGTACTTTATAGTACTTAATGCAGATTATACTCTGGCTCGTGTTAATTTAATTCATTAGTTTAATTCAACTTAAAGGACTTACATTTAAGGGAAACATTTAAAGGATTTGAGTCTTCATTGGTTTCTAATATGAAGAGAAAAATGGTTGATGGTATATGTACTTACTGTTAGTAAAATATGATGCATCTAGTTTCCCCCTTGCCCCCCAAAAAAATTTCAATAGAGAAGTAAAACATACTTGTTATTTATTCTCCGTTTCATTTTGAAACGTGAGCAAAGTGCTTTAATTTCTTTAAGAGAGGAGAAAATTTTCTTCGAGCGAATTAATGAATTGCACGTGCCATCAAACTTTATCGTAACATATTTTGGAAATTTTTGGAATCCAGCTTCACAAACAACATTTAAGGCCTACCATAGAAAGGTGTGTGTCAACGTTCGTAGACACCACTGGCTAATTTCACGCTAGTGAAGGAGTGTATTGCCATAAAAGACACAAGAAAAAAAAAAACACGATGACGTGATTGGCAAAAATTCCATTGAAATTGTCGCTCTTCTAGAAAACGATCCTGCCTGACGAGAATCTCTGACAATCGATTTGTTATGGAAATTATACACAAATTGTAGTAGATCCTATTTGAAATTATGATTTCTCGCGGAAACTTTTTTCAACAGAACTTTGCTTTTGAAACAATAATCTTTCCGAGTGGTCCTAATTTCGAACTATTATATTTTTTTCTATTGACACTCAATCTTGAAGTGTAACGACAGAAGAAACGCGTTGGCGACGAGATTAAAGGATAATGAAGTCAAATGCGATATAATTTGAATTATAACTCAGTTATTGGAAGAGTTTCGAAAATCATTACCAAATATATTACAGTATTATTGCCAATTAAATTTAAAATTAAATAATTACTATTATTACCAAATTCAATTTATTATTACCAAAATAATAATTTGGAAGTGTTTCGAATCATTACCAAATATATTACAATATTATTGCCAATTAAATTTGGTAATAATAAGATATCAGTTAATTAAATATTTGGAAGATATCAGTTAATTAATACGTAGGTATCAAAATTTATATTAACTTTGAACTTGTTCCTTAAATGGACAAAAGCTGCGTTTCATTTACTTTCCCAGCAGACAGAAATAAATGTGCAAGCTGTTTTATACGTTCTTTTATCAAACACGTTCTTCTTCTCACGTGGAAAGTCGAGAGATAAATTGGCCACTCTGGTTACAAAGTAAATGCCACGCCGTAGCGGGTTTTATCGAGATGAATTATTCAAAGATGAGAAACGAAACGATGAAAATCCAATCGAGGGAATCGCGAATAGTGAAGGTAGAGTAAAGATAAGCCGTGGCTTTCCCGATTCTGTCTTTCCGAAACGACGCTTCTTATTTAATGAATTGTACGTGGGAGGAGTAAAAAATGGCGATCGTGATCCCCGTATTTCGCACGATGCTTATTTCATGCCACCGAGCTTGATCAACAGGTGATCTGTTCTCTATTTCTTTTTCAGATGTATATATATAAATATTAAATATATATGTATTTAATAAATAAAATAATAAAATTTAATTCTTTTTAAATATATTTATGTCCAATTATATTAATAATAATTGGCAATTTTATAATTAAATTATTTGTGAATTTTCAATAATTTTATTAATAATTAGACTTTTAAATATTATATAATTTTTATATAATATTATAGAATTTTCAAATTAGATTTTTAAATATTATATAATTTTTATATAATATTATAGGATTTTCAAATTAGATTTTTAAATGTTATATAATTTTTATATAATATTATAGAATTTTCAATAATTTTATTAATAATTAGACTTTTAAATATTATAAAAGACTCAACACAGAAATAATTAGAATTTTATACTATTCAGTTTCATCTTTATCATCCATTTATATTTATATTTTTTATCGTCATTAATAATAATTTAATTATATTTTCATATATTAATTCAAAATTTTTAATAAATCTTTTTTCATTGATATTGTTTTTAAAAATTAGAATATTTCCATTTCATAATTGAATATATTTATTGTCATGAAAAATCATCATGACAACAAATTTTTTTTTATCGGCAATTATAAAATTTATTCCAATTACACTTTTTTGTCATATATATATATTCGTGAAAAATGGGAAAATACCTAGTATTTTTTTCTACTCAATAGACGATCGAAACAGCAGAATAGATACGGAAGTTTTACATAATATGTAAACTTTTTTTACCCATAAGAATTTTTATTGATTTTTCTTTTTCCAAAGTAATACTACTTCTTCCTCCATTGGGGGAGGTGATTTTAAATGGCATGCGTTGATTGCATTTTGATTGCTGTTGTTCACTGATTTATAGATAGTTATTCACTCCGAAGCAGGTATATTGAATAGCGTGAATGATAGTGTGAAAATCGTATATTGAAACAATAAAATTACAGATATTTTCGTCCTTCTCGAATCATCCTTTTGAAAGGACGAGAATTTATCTATTAATAGACCGTGAATTTTTATCCATTTATTGATTTCGTTACATTCACGAACCCAAATTATCAATTTGTATAAATATCCGCGATTTACTCAGTTAATTATCATTAAAAAAATAATAATAATAATTGTAGATTCTACGACGTATGTAAAAATAAAATTTCAAAGTAAATTCACAAGTGAAAAAAAAGTCAATTATCCGCAAATATAATAGGGACGAGTGGAAATGAAAAGGAAATTTAATTCAAAATAATCTCACGAATAAGGTAAAAAATAAAAAAAAAAAAACAAAAAACGGAAGAAAGGTTCAATGTTTCGCGAACGAAGCGAAGAAACTAAAGTTTATATCTCACGTAAAATTATTGTCCCACTCATTGGTTTATTCGGCTCGGTTGCAGGAAGGATGTCGAAGTCGGGCAGCATCAAGGATGGCGAGAAGGGGCCGTACGACCCGGTTCCAACCACCGACAAAGCCAACGACGAAATCAAACTCGAGGCGAAGATGTCCCTGTTGAATGGAATAACCGTGATCGTCGGCTCCATTATTGGTTCTGGCATATTCGTTAGCCCGACCGGCGTACTCAAGTACACAGGAAGCGTGAACGCGAGCCTCCTGGTGTGGACAGCTTCCGGTATCTTCTCCACGGTACGTACGCCATCATTTTTCCTCGAGCTTGAAGCTGAGGTCATTGTTCGTTCCACGAACATATGGTGACGAACGTATTCGTAAACTGAGATTTTTGTAGGAGCTTTCTAACTCACACTTGCACGTGAGAATCTCGTAATTCGACCTAACGTCAGATACGTTAATTATTACAAGTTGTGAGTAGGTTTGTGAGTAGGACAGTATAATTCTAAGTTAAAGATGTTTTAAATTTTAAACAATCTTGAGAAATTTTAAATTTAACAATTTATATACTTGCTTGTAGGATCTGCTTTCTCGATCGAGCTAGAATATTTGAAATAAATAAGCTTGTGATAATGATAAATTTAGAATGTTTAAATATCTAAATAATAAATGATAAAAATAAATTTAGAATATTTGAATAATAAATATTTAAATACCTAAATAATAAATTTAGAATATTTAGATATCTAAATATCTAAATAATAAATTTAGAATATTCAAATATCTAAATAATAAATTTAGAATATTTAAATATCTAAATAATAAATAATAATAATAAATTTAGAATATTGAAATAATAAATATTTAAATACCTAAATAATAAATTTAGAATATTTAAATACCTAAATAATAAATTTAAAATATTTAAATATCTAAATAATAAATTTAGAATATTTAGATATCTAAATAATAAATTTAGAATATTGAAATAATAAATATTTAAATACCTAATTAATAAATTTAGAATATTTAAATACCTAAATAATAAATTTAAAATATTTAATTACCTAAATAATAAATTTAGAATATTTAAATATCTAAATAATAAATAGTAATAATAGATTTAGAATATTCAAATGTTTAAATAATAAGTTTAGAATATCTAAATACCTGAATAATAATAATAATAAATAATAATAATAAATTTAGAATATTTAAATATGCAAATAATAAGTTTAGAATAAATCGTTTTGAATAATAAGGACGAGAATACGTATCTGTATAACGTTTCACGTGGTTTTGTTGGTTTTGTTGAACGACAGGTAGGCGCGTACTGTTACGCAGAGCTCGGCTGCATGATCAGAAAGTCGGGCGCCGATTACGCGTATATCATGGAGACCTTCGGACCTTTCCTGGCATTCATCAGGCTCTGGGTTGAGTGCATGATAGTGCGACCTTGCAGCCAGGCTATCGTGGCCTTGACTTTCAGCGTTTACGTGTTGAAACCGGTGTTCCCGGACTGTGCACCACCGGACGATGCCACGAGGATACTGGCAGCGTGCTGCATCTGTGAGTCAATCAGTCTTTTTCATCATTACTTCTCGCATCTTACAAAATACTGAGAAAAAACATTGTGAAAGGATAATTCATACATAGTTATCTATTTTCGCTTCTTTCTTTCTTTCTTTCTTTCTTTCTTTCTTTTTTCAAGAATATTAAAAGTCACTTTCATCGTAAATTTGTTCACTTGTACAATACAGACAATGCAGATAGGAATAACCGTTTCGAGTATTAGAAAATGAAAATTTGCTCAATTTTAAATAAAATTCACCACGATAGATAGATATTCGCTCTCAATATTCGCTATAGATCAAAAAAGGGAAGCACGCATTGACCCTGACCGACTATCTGGATGAAATTTTTTTTCATCAGTGTCTAATTTAGGGACAGAAGAGTGAACACACAACAGAATGTAGCGCGACGAACGTGTTTGCGAGTAATTGGGGCCAATGTACTAGAGAACGTCTTGAAAGAGAGTGGAAGAAGCTGTGTCCACAAGAAGAAATTAGATTTAGTTTATTCTCACGGAAATTAAGCTCTCGGCCGAGCACGAGTTTAATCGATGTGATTCATTCTATCAGAGGACCCCCTCAGAATGCTTGTTGATTGGACTGTCGGATTTTCTGGCCGTTCCGAGAACACCATAGCACCCGTCCATCCGCAATTGGATGCTCGTTCCACTCGTCATTCACCTAATACCAGCCCCGATTAATCGAATTATTTTCTCCGCTCTGTCCGAGTTATTCATCTTTCCGACCGTAGTCGAAACCGACTGCCTTTTCACTGGACTATACCGATATATTAATCTCAAACGGTTCAATCGTTGATTCGCTGTGGAACCTTGGACTTCGACGATGCCTAATTTGTTCATCGCGCACACGATCCTTCGTACAGAATTCGACAGACAATTGCCACCTAATCGAAATCATGACTGTGAGATCACGAGGATTTATCGTTATCGTTCCCAAAGTTTCTTCAGGCGGAGATGTATTTTTCTTTCTTTTTCTTTTTGTTCATGTTATGTGCATTATATCTGAATAACTCGATGCTAGAGTTATATTGTTTTTCAGTGATTGATACTGTTGATTTTTCATTCTTTGTGTCAGAGTTAGAGAACTACTTATCTAGTAGCTTTGTTTCTCCACGAAAATTCAAAATTAAATTAAACATTCTCCATTCCACCATAAATTACAAATTTAACACTCCAAAGATACACGTGATAGAAAACAGAATTATTGAAGATTAATTTTTAAATATATAAATATATAAATTAAAAGAAATTAATTATAAATATTAATTATATTAAATATATAAATATATAAATTAATTCGTAAATTTATAATAATTTCTTAAATTATAATATAATATTATAATTTATTATAATTATAATATTATAATATAATAATTTATTATAATTATAATATTATAATATTATAATTTATTTATATATTATAATATTATATTATATAATATTATAATATTATAATATAATTTATTATAATTATAAATATAATATTATATTTATAAACATAATATTATAATTATAATATTATAAATATAAATTTATAATAATTTTTTAATTTACAATTAATATCGATACTTTAATTTTTTACAATTAATTTACGAAATATAATCTTGACTCTCGTTTTACCTTTTTTTTTTTATTTCATAATCTTCGAGTCCTTCATAATCTTTTATAGTCCTTCAAAGAAACTGAAATAGTTCGAAAATATTCTTCCACGGTGACAGTGACGTTATCAAGAATATTTCCGAGGCATTTTAATCCATGGAACCACGGACATTCAACGAATATTTCATACCAAGTGCTCGCCCAGAGCATTCTCCATACCGAGATATCCTCGATCCTCTCCTTTTATTCAGGGAGATCGGCAATATTCTAATGGTCCTTGAGTATTACATTTCTTTCGAGCGAGAACCGCCAGGACTCGTTCCTCATTGTCGCTGGCGTCCTTCGGGGAGCTTTCAAACCTAATGCCGCCTCTCGTTACGCGAACGCAATTTGTAATCCCTCCAATAATCTTAGCAATCTTGGAATTGTCTGTTGCAAGTTCTCGCTGTTCTTTCGCCTTAATGAGCACTCTGGGGGAATCATGGTTTCCTCCTTCCGACCGATGGAAAATAAAATCCGATTGTTTCAGATTAAACAGTGGTTTTTTTCTATATATTCTTGTGGTGGAATGAAGGTTTGCCTTAATTAGCTGAAAGTGCATTTTGAATCTGAGAAATTTTATTCTCGAACTTCTTTTTCTGGAAAGAAATTTTATTCGAAAGTGTTTGAAAGATTTCGGACGTTTGTCGAGTATCTCGGAGTTTTTTTCAAAAGTTTCTAGGAACTCTAGAGTTTTTTGGAAACTTGAACCAATGGGGGAAAGTTCGTTTGGAGGTGCATGCAATGAAGAGTTTCAAGCACTCGGCAAATATTCTAGAACATTTTCAAGAATTTTTCTTTTTTCAAAGTTTAATATATTGAAGGAAATTACGTTCGTTCTTCTGATAGTTTGTTTCGTACACTCGCGATACAAAATATGGCCACTCGGAATATTCGATCTGCAATTAGCTGCTGAAGATAATTATTTGCTGAAAGAGTCATAAAACGGAGACGTTGTGCAACTTATTTCTTTTATAAATATATAAATATATAAATATATATAAATTTATAAATATATAAATAATCCATCATTCTTTGGGAAATTTGTCATACTTTCTTGTGCCTGTTACAATAGTTACTCTCCTCATTCGTGTTTATTAATTTGATTCACGATCCATTGAAAAGTAAAGAGATCTTTTGAAAATTCCAAAATTTGATCATGACTAAATTAACGGACGTTTGTGTAATTTTAAAGACAGAGTGCGATAAGTAGTACACAAAATACTCGAAGCACACTGTCCTCTGTAACATTCGCCACGAATGATACTAATTTTCTATCGAGACTCTATTTCCTCAGTTTGCACTTTCAAAAAGAATCGCGCAGAAAATTCACAAAAAATTCGCGAAAAATCAGAAATTCTGCTGCTGAAACACCGTGAGAGGGTTAAATCATCGGACGATCGATCGTTCGTCCGATGAAGAAAACGTCTGTTTCAGCTCTGGAATTCGCGACGAATCGTAATGGCAGCCTTCGAGCCGCTATTTCCTTTTCAACGAGTAACGATAGCGTGAGTAATAACGAGACAAAATGTTGCATGCCGATCGAACGATCGTTTGTAAGAACGAACATTCCAGTAAACACGCCTGTTTTTTTTTTTTTTTTTTTTTTTTTTTTTCTTTTTTCTTTCTCGATCGCGATCATGTAAGAACCGATCTCCAGCGATCTCCAGGTGAGATCGCTTTCGAGAATCGTTCTGGAATGGAATTTCCGCGCACGATGCCGTGACGAGACGTGATTTCCGCTGATTCGTCGCAGGAAATAATTTTGTACATCGTCGTAATCAAATTTCACGAATCGTATAATTACAGTCGCCTATCTAATATTCTTTTATATCCGTTCAATCGGATCATTTATTTGTTCGTTCAATCGTTCATCTATTTATTTATGTTTTTTTTTTTTCATAATCAATAGGATATAAAATCATAGGATTTTACAAGAGAAATATTTTTAGGTAGACTGATTGTGAGAGAGATATATATTTATATATACACATTGTTCGTTTATCATCTTTTTTTTTATTATTATTATTTTTCCGTGTTTTACATTTTGATGAAAATGTTACACGAAAAAGTATTTGTCAGTATATTGACGATAAAATGTAAGTTAATATTTGAAGAATTAACGACTCTTTTCAAGGTAGATTGATAATTCTAAAAGAACATATTTTCATGTGCAAATAAGATTCGAGAAATTATGTCATCGCTGGACTAAATAACATTTTCTCAAAGATGCAATTCAAAAAGCATCGTTCGCATTATTTTCGAACGACGACAGCCGCGTGGAATGTTAAATCTCGGACAGCATCGTTAAATCAAATTGAATTAAACATTCCAAAATTAAGTAACGTCAAGCAAAAATGTTACCAGTTACGGTTCAATAACAATAAAAGTAAATTGAGATGTCAATATAATATTGACACATATAATTTGTACCATTGTTGGATATCTAGATTATGAGAAATGATGAAAAATAATTTTCAATACAAATTTCTAATTTGGCTCTTAGTTCTTTTAATTATACTCGCAAAAATATGAGTTTTCATAAATATCCAACATCTAATTATTACCGTGTCATTGCAACTTCGTCACCTGCCTCTTCTTTCGATCCAAATCAATTTTCCTTCTCTTCTGTACAAACTTCGTTGAAGCTTCCAAGCATCATCGATGAAAACCAGAGCGTCTCTTGTATCATAAAGTGATAAACTATTCAGCCAACATTCCGTTCTCAAACGGAAAGGAAAGAGAAAAGAAAAAAACAAAGAAAAAAACACGAAAGAAATCCCTCACAAAAGCGGAACAAGCGTATTTTTCGGGGATCGGTTCGGAATAAATGCCGCAGAAATGTCGAATGATATCGAGTTCTTGCGGTCTTCCGCCTCCGTGTGTTCTTCCGCCTCTGTCCTCTCGTATCGTTTTACAACACGTGCCCGCTGAAATATCCTATTCTGTTCCTCCTTTCTTTCACCTTTTCTGCGAACAAAGCAAGTTCCAAAAAAAGAAAAAAACTGCATCGGACTGCAGTTGAAGTTAAAAATACACGGCGGCTCTCTGCCTGGCGGAACGAGTTCCGTTTTCCTCGCGAAAAGTATGCGAGTGGTATGCGAAATCGAGGCATGGCTCGATTGTCCAGATTTCGCAAACGTTTTCTTATCATTTAGGACAAGTATTCGTTCGGGCGAGGGGTTTGCTTCGTGGCAGAAGACCAACGCGATCGCATTTTGTGAACGCATTCGAGATCGAAAGTTCTCAGTTCGTTAATTATGGTTTGATAGAAAGCTCCCAACTTTGGCAATTCAAGTTTGTTTATTTCCTTTTTCCTTTTTTCCTTTTTTTTTTTTTT